GAGCTAGCTGGGGACGGGAAGGGAGGGCAGACGGGTGTCTGGCTCGCTGGGCCCCAGAATGGACCCGGCTGAGGGGGTCCCATTCTCTGGACCTACAAGCCCTGTTTTAGTCCGTGTTCCTGTCATCTAATAAACCTCTGTTTTACTGGCTGGCCGAGAGTCACGTCTGACTGCGAAGTGGGGGTGCAGGACCCTCTGGCTGCCCCAGGACCCCGCCGGGGTGGACTCGCTGTGGGAAGCGCACGGAGGGGCATATGCTGAATGCTCCAAGGTCAGACCCAGGAGGTGAAGCCGTGTGAGCTTCTTGCCCTGAAGACGGTCTGCTCCGAGGGAGAGGAGGCTCCCCAGAGTCCTGCCTGGCTTTGTGGGGAGCAGCTCCAGAGCACCGCCCGGGGACTCCGTGACAGCAGGTTCCTGGTGCCGCTGCCGGGGGCTGCTGGGGGGCTCCCAGGCCTGGTTCTCCAGCCCCCCGGCCCTGGCCATGGCCCGAGCAGCCCACGGGGGTGACAGCCTCTGGCTAGGGCTGAACACTCCTGGGTCTACCTCTGGCTCAGGGCCCCATCCTCAGTTCTGCTCCGCTGTCCTGCAGCCGCCCCCAGCTGGGGCCCGTGGGCTGGCAAAGCCCAGCAGGCCTCGGTCTGAGCAGAGGAGAGGCCGTAGGGCTGGGCTCACAAACGGCTCAGCCGGCTCCTGCCCCACTTGGCGCCCGGGCCCCGGTGCTGCATCGGTCTCGCATCCGGCACAGCAGGCTTGAGGCCACGTTTACCAGCTGGCCTGTGCCCCAGGGAGCCTGGCTTCTGCCGGCCGGCTCCAGGGCTCACAGCATGTTAGCGCCAGGCCCCCGGCCACGGAGTCCCATGCCAAGGGCTGGGCTGAGGCCAACCCGCAGAATGCAGCCCTGAGGCTGGGGGCCTGGGGCCGTCCCCTGGCCCGGGGGCTCATAGTGTTCGGACCCGGGGTCAGGGTGCACCTCGGCTGCATGCAGCTCTGAGCCAGACACCCACGTCAGGCTTCACAATGAGAGGGTGTCCTGGAGCCACCGGCCCGGTGCCCGCGTCTGGCTCTGGGGGAGGGGGCTGCAGTGTGCCAGCCCCACACTGGGCACCCACTCCCTGGGGCCAGCCCCTCAGCTCTGCCTCCTGGGACCCACCCTGGGAACCGCCAGCACCCCTGGGTCACAACATGAGCCCCCAGCAAGTCCACCTGGGCTGGACAGTGCAGGGAGCCTGGTACCCCCGAGGGAGCAGAGCCCCCCCATGTGACCCCCACAGTGACTCAGCCCGGGGGGGGGGTATTAGCCATAGTACAGACCCCTTTGTTACCCTGGCAACTGGAAATTACAGCAAAAGCCATTGGGTCAGGCTGGAGCCCTCTGCCCCCCCCGTAGTGCCAGGCCAAAAGGGACCCTTTGCTCCCCCCGCCCCCCCCCCCCCCCGCCTTTGCCCTTCGCAGTGGGGCAGCCATGGGTGCTAGGGGCTTGGTACCAAAGGTCTGGGTAAGGGTGTGGCCGCTGTTTTGGGGGCCCTGCGAGGGGTCTGGCCCAGGCACGAGGCAGCTGGGCCACAGCCACCCCTGGCTCGCTGGTGTCTGCAAAGAGCAACCCCCCCAACCCATGCAGCTTATAGGGGAAACTGAGGCACACACGCTATCCACACAAATTCCCACTGTGTCACAGAGCCAGACGCCCAGGCTCTGCGTGCGCACACAACCTCCTCCCCCCCGCAGACAGGGGCTCTGACCACATCCCTTCTGGCTGCGCCGAGCTGTGGGGTGTGTCCCCCCTTTTGTTTTACGCTGGCTGAGTCACATCTGACAGCGAAGTGGGGGTGCAGGACCCTGTGGCTTCCCCAGGACCCCGCCGGGCGGACTCGCTGTGGGAAGCGCATGGAGGGGTAGATGCTGAATGCTCCCAGGAGAGACCCAGGGGGTGAAGCCGTGTGAGCATCTTGCCCTGAAGACAGTCTGCTCCGAGGGAGAGGAGGCTCCCCAAAGTCCTGACTGGCTTTGTGGGGAGCAGTTCCAGAGCATTGCCCGGGGACTGCGTGACGGGGAGGAGCCCGGTGCAGATCACAGCTGACCTCCTGCCCAGGGCAGGCAGAGACCGGTCTGGTACGAACTCCCGCTGGCGGGGGCAGGCGTCTAGAAAAACATCGAGTTGTGCTGAACAAACTGGCCAGGGCTGGCGCATCCCCCAAGGAGCTCTGGAAACTGTTCTGGAGGTAAATTTCCCCCTCGTTATTGCTGGTCTGACTGTGCCTAGCAGCAACGCCCAGCCTGGGAGCGTTTGACCTTCTGTCTGCCAGCGTGGAGAGTCTGCTATGAAGTGTTGGCGTAGGAGTAGGGCTTTATATTTGTATTTTGTATAGTTTAAAATGAAGGGTAAAGAATAATGTAGCATGCATTACATGTATTGGAGATGGATATTGAGATGTCACAGGAGGGCAGATTGACGACGCTAAAAGATGGGGCAGGCATCTATCAGTGGGGACAAGAGAGCTGTGATCAAAACCAGCACGGGGTAATTCCCTGAGAGACTGATGAAAGAACAAGATAAAGGCTGAGAAGAACAATTTAAGAAAACAAGCACTCGTCAAACAGCGATGGATTACAGCATGACGGTGCAAAACTCGTTGGTCCCAAGGAAGGAAGATCACTATATAAACAAGGTGCTTTGCCATGAAACTTTGGGTTCGTCCTGCCAAGACTTCCCGGGAGCATCGTGTCGCGATCGACGGAACCCGGCTCCTCCCTACCTGTGATCAACCAAGTGGTCACTAGATTGATCCGGACTCTGGACTGGTAACTATAATGTTGACTGGCAGGACAGCATGTGTGTGAGACTGAATGCACGTGCTAATTGTTGGATCTCCAATAAACGCGGCGTGTTGCCTTTGCCCTGACAAAGCTCCTGTCCCGGGCTCTAGTCCCCCCGTCCCGGGCTCTGTGCAGCTGAACAGTCGGAGCTCCTGGAAGAACGTGTGTTTTCTAATCCTTGAGGCGTTCATGGGGCTCTCCTCTGCCCCTCTCCAATTTAGCCACATCCTCCTGGAACACGGCCCAAGCACTGAGCCCGATTCCAGCAGGGCCCCACCCAGCGGTAAAATAACCCCCCTGTCCCACCTGCGCTTCCCTTGTTTGTGCAGCCCAGGCTGGCATCAGCACTGCCCTGGGAGCTCGCCTTGAGCTGGTTCTCCCCCCGCCTGACGTAGGGCCTGCATGCTGGGCTCCCAGCTGCACTCCGTTACAGTTCACTGCATTAAAACACGGCGCGTTCGCCGGCGCCGGTTACCAAGGGACCCAGCTCGCCCTGCGGGTCGCTGATAAAAACGTTGAGCAGAGAAGGGCTAAGAACCTGTGGCTGCAGGGCCCCCGGGAAACGCACCTGCCCGCTGCTGTCACCATTACAAGCCATGGTGAGCCCCAGCCATTACTCCAGTTAACGAGCCCCACGTTCATTTTATCTCAGGCTAGTTCTTTAATCAACCCCTCGTGCAGCACCAGGGCAAACCCCACGAGTCTGTCACAGGCTGCTAGTGCCTTCACCCACCCTCCTTGCCAGCCCATCAAATCATACCCCATTGTACTGCCTGGCCCCGGACTGCCCCACGGCAGGGCAGAGGCAGTGCTGGGCTGCTGAGATCCATGCCAAAGTGAAAGCGGGCCGGGCCGGCGGACCGGTAACAAGCGGCTGCCATTAGCAGCCCATAAACAGCGACGTTAGAGCACTGTGCTTTAACATCGCTGCCCCTTTCCCCCCCATCCCCAGGGTTGCGGGGGGGGGGGGAGGAGTAGCTGAGCTGGGGCCCGGTGATTTAAAAGGGCCTAAGGTTCCTGGCTGCCGCGCCTGGAGCCCCAGGCCCTTTAAATCGCCACTGGAGGCCTGGGCAGCCCGGGCCAGGCAGCCCAGATGGGCTGGCTGGGGGAGGCTGACCCCAGCCCTGCCCCTTCGCCCGAGGGGCCCGGAGCCAGCCCCCCGTACCGGTAAGACTTTTAAGTTACTTTCAGCCCGGGATCCCCGCCCCGGCCATCTAGCATGGCAGTTACAGAGGAACGAGTAGCGGTAGAAAGCTGTTATCCAGGGTGAGAGACGCGGCGCCAGTAGGTTTTGCTGCGCTGACTGAGGACTCCGGTGTAGGGCAGCAGGTTCGAGCAGTTAGAGGCACCTGACTCTATCCCCACCCACTCAGCCGGAGGCAGACGCCCAGCCTGGGACACTTCACCCTGACCAGCTGAAAGGTGGTTGGTGCTGCCTGTGCACCAGGGTCTCCGGCTGCCCCGTGCGCACCGTGTGCCAGAGCTTCGCTCTGTGTCTCACTGCACGGCCCGGGGGGTGAGGTAGCTCCATGGGCCGTGGGGCAGCACCCCTCTCCCCAGCCCCATGGGCCTGGCCTGCTCTCCTCAGCTAACATCTGTCTGCACCGCACTTCACCTGGCTGCTGCCCCTGGACAGGGCTGGGAGCTGCCTCTGCTGTGAGGACGGAGCCAGCGCTGCCAGCTTGGGGGGGGGGGGGTGTTAGCCCTCCACTGCTAGCCCACAGGGCCACGCCACCCCCCCCCCATTCCCAGCACAGGGGCCGCCTGCCAGCCTGGCGTTCTAACCCCCCGGGGAACTACTCCAGTTCTGCTGCGATTCCGCGTGCAGACGCTGACAGGGGCTTGCCACAGGCCGGATCCCTTCACCTCCTGCTCGGGGAAGGTCTCGCTGCCAGATGCTGTTTGCTGGCCCTTGCAGCCAGCCCAGCCCGCACGCGACTTCACAGTTCAACGCTGCAGGGGCAGGCCAAGGACGGTGCAGACCCGACCACCCCCTCCCAGCACCCCCCAGCCTGGCCGGGGGGCTCGAGGGGCAGGGCAAACACAGCCTGACGCCCGGCCTCGGGCCCACGGACCGGGGGGGGGCTGGCTTCAGCTCGGCTGGGCTGTGACACCCCAGGGAGGTGGTTTCCGGGCTGGGCTGAGCCAGGCCGGGGCCTGGACCAGCCCCACATGGCAGGGGCTGACAGTTGCCCAGGGCACGGCCTGGCCAGAGCAGGGGGAACTGAGCCATGCACAGGCTGGGGTCGGGCACCTGCGCTGCAGCCGGGGCCGCCCGGGAGGCCCAGTCGGTTCCCAGCTCCCGGCTGGCCCCTCACAGGATGATCTGGTTCTTGAAGCTGCGGCTCAGCTCCTTGTGTGGCAGGACGATGGAGTTGAGGATCACGACCTCTGCGGGGATGGTGACGTTACAGCCTGCGAGGGGAGACCAGAGCCACTGTCAGCTGGGGGTGAGCCGGAGCCCCCACCCCGCAGGGGGGCCCGAGGCTGCCCCCCACGCTCCCCAGCCTACAGCCAGAGCCAGGTGAGCAGGGAGGGGGTGTCAGACCTACCCAGGATGGTGATGGAGGGTGTGAGCCTGCCGTCCCTGAAGAGGGTCTCACTGTCGATTTTGGCATAGGGGTCGTTGGGGTTCGGGTCACTGGGCGTCCCCTCGACCCGGGCCCAGCGCCCGATGGTGCTGTCCCAACCCACAATGCTGTTGAGCACACAGGTGTGATCCTGGGGAGAGAGCAGCACAGGGTGAGGGGGGCACCAGCCCCGGGCACAGCCTGGCCTCCGGGTGGGGAACCAGAGAAACGAGGGCGGCCGCGTAGTGTAGTGTCCTGTAGCGGGGGGGCTGCAGGTCAGGAGTGAGGGGCACCAGCAGAGTTTGGGGAGGGGGGAGGGGAAGCCCAGGGCTGGGCTAGCAGGGGCTGTGGGTCGGGAGTGAGGGGCCCCGGCAGAGCAGGGGCGGGAGGGGAAGCCCAGGGCTGGGCTAGCAGGGGGCCGCGGGCCGGGAGTGAGGGGCCCCGGCACAGTTGCGGGGCGGGGGGCAGGGCTGGGTTAGCAGGGGCTGCAGGTCGGGAGTGAGTGGCCCCAGGGCTGGGCAGTGGGGGGTTTGTGGGGCCGTGACAGAGCTGGGGGACACAGGACACAGCTCCAGGCTGCACCCGCTGTTGGCTGAGCTGACCATCTCCGCCTGAAGCCGGGGGACTAAAAGGCTCCCCCCTGCCCCCCCCCCGGCGGGGCCCACCCTACCTGCAGCGACGCCCCATGCAGGATGATGGACTCGCGCACACGCACGCCGGCTCCCACCGTCACCCCCTTCCCAATGGAGACATTGGGGCCCAGCTGGAGGGAGAGAGCAGAGCAGGCAGTGAGCGGAGCCCCCCAGGCCAGCCCCGAGAACCACCCCTGGCCCCACACTCACCACGGCACTGCGGTCGATGGACGCCGTTGGGTGGATATACACGTTCCCTGCAACACAAACAAGGGTGAGGGGACGCGGCTCTGCCCCACCCCCCCGGGCTAGCACAGCCGGCAGGGAGAGGAACTGCCCAGAGCCCAGCCGCAGCCACCGCTGGGAGACCCCGGCTGGGCCCCCGCGGGGTGAGCGCAGGGCTCTGCTAACAGCGTGCCCGGGCCGTGCGGGGGAGGGTACCTCGGATGGTGGGCCCCCCAGGGCTGTTCCGGGCCAGTCTCTCCGGGTGGCACTGGCTGTACTGGCTCAGGTAGAGGCGGCTGGCGTAGATGGCAGAGCTGGGGGGGAAAGGAGCCAATCAGAGTGACCAGGCCCCACCTCGCAGGGAGCGTCTGTCAGGCCCTGCCTAGCAGAGAGGCTGCTCCTCCGGGGCTGTCATCATGTCCCCCCCCGCCGCGCAGCGGAACAGGTCTGAGCTGAGCTCGGCTCCGGCAGCTCCCCACCATACAAGGGACACTGCCGCCCACCGCTCCCCCGGCCCTGCCCTGCCAACACCCACCCAGCCGATTTGATCTGGCTCCAGAAGCCGTCGGTTTTGTAGACGTAGAGCTTGCCGCGCCCGGCCAGCGCCGTGAAGACGTCCTGCTCCAGCCGGATCACCTCGGCGCGCTGCCAGCCATTGGTGCTGTCCTCCCTGCCGGGCGAGACGCACGGGGTGAGGGCGAGGGCAAGGGCTCTGCTGGGGGCTGAGCTGGGATTACTGCCCTGGCAGGGCCGGACGCCCAGCCCGCACCTGGGCCAGCAGGGCCCAAGCCACAATCCGCGCAGGGCTCAGGCTGCAGCAATGCCAGCTCCCTCGGCCAGCAGCCAGGGCCCCTCCCAGCAGGCCACAGGCGCGGGCAGCAGCTCCAGCACTTGCCAGCTGCCCCTCCCCTTTGCAGAAGGGCAGAGGGAGCGGTGGGAGGGGGTCGCCGAAGGTCACACGGGGTCATGGCCGCTCTAGGGAACAGCCTGGCAATTGCCAAGAGTCAGATTCAGCTTGGGCCCAGTGGGGCGAGACCAGCTGTGCTGGCTGCTGGCGGGGCCAAGCCGAGGCTGCCCGCTCTGCGCCTCCCAGCCCACCCCGACCGCCAGCGCCTCGGCTGGCTGCGCCCGCGGCAGGGACAGAGCTGGTAGCGCAGGAGTGCCTTGTAAGAGCCAGCGCCCCAGAGAGCCCAGGGAGCCCCCCCAGAGAGCGACACACCCAGCCCCCTCCCGCCCCAGCAGGGGGCGCTTTCCAGGGTGAGAGGGTTTCTCCTCCGCCCTGAACTCCCACCTGTCCCCCCGCACAGCTGGCTCTCCACATGGGAAGCCCTTTGGGGCGAGGGACACTCCAGACAGTGCAGGGAGCTGGGGGGCCCCAGGGGTACCCTGAATGCCCAGGAGCCAATGCCAGCTTCAGCACTAGGCTTCAGCGGAGCAGCAGGTGGAAGCAGAGAGTGCGTCTCAGCGGCGAAGCAGGGCTCCGGGAGGGGGCTGGCGCTAAATGCCCCACGCAGGGCGATGCCCCAGGCCCTGCCGCAGGCTGGGAGGAGGCGACAGACACTTACCCAAGGCAAGCGCCCCTGGTGCAGGTCAGGCAGCGAGTGAGGATGGCAGAGGAGGAGAGAAGGTGGGAAAAGAAAGAGATGGAAGATGAGCGTGGTGGCTGCAGCCCCGGGCACTGGGCCGGGCTGGGGGCACTCACAGGAGCAGTTCCTGCTGGGTCCTCTGGAAGACCTCGCCGATGTGCTGGAAGATGGTGGGCGTGAACAGGTAGATGCCGCAGTTGATGATCTCGCTGATGAAGGTGCTGGGTTTCTCCACGTAGTGCAGGACCTGGGGGGCGAGGGGCCATGAGCCTGGCTCACCAGCACCACCCCACCGGGCGCCGGCCAGGCCAAACGCGCCAGCTGGGGCCATGCTGGGAACTGGACGCAGGTCGCTGGGAGCACAACTCTGCATCGGGGCCACCGACGCCCCTGCCCCACACTGGCCACAGCCACCACACAGCATGGGCAGCGCTGCCCGGGTGGCCCCAGCCCCTTACCTCGTTCGTCTCCGTGTTGGCCACGATGCACCCGTAGTTCAGGGACTGCTTCCTGTTGGCCTGTGGAAAGGGGACAGCGTCAGCGGGAACCTGGGCAGAGGGGTCCCGAGGCTCCCAGCCGGCCGCCTGCCACAGGAACCCCAGGCAGCCTGGGGCTGGGGCGGCCCCCCGCTCACCGTGGTGCCCAGCATGACAAAGCTGTGCGGGTCTCCACACTGCTGCTGGAAGGCCAGCATCTCCGGCAGGGGGAACTCCGAGCACACGTCCGCGTTGAGGACGAAGAAGGCCTCGGGGCTGCCCGACAGGATCTGGTCCCGGAAGTGGTAGATGCCGCCGCCCGTGCCCAGCGCCGCGTACTCCTGCAGGTACCTGTATGACGAAGTGGGAACTTCCTTAATCTTTTGTCTGAATTGTGTGTGCCTCAGTTTCCCGTGTGTTACTCCAGTAATTCTAGACAGTGGGACAGGGGGTGTGATCGTTGTAGAGACCCACTGGGGCAGGTGTGACACCGACTGGCTGCCTGGGCACAGACAATGGCCGACACCCTGTATCCCAGCAACTGACGGCCGGGCCCCTCCCCTGCCAGAGCCCCCGGAGGGGCTGGAGACCAGAGACCAGGGGCCCTGTTTGCAGGGGAAGGAGACAAAGGCCGCAGGGGGGCAGCCGGGGGTGACTGGGGCTGGGCTGCTGGAAGTGAGTCATTCGCCTGGTTTGGGACCTGGGGGGGGAGGGGGACGACACGCTGGGCCCTGGATCCCCCCCAAGCTGGACTTTGCTGCAGATCCCTGATTTCTGTGCTCACAAGCTCTGTCCTACGCTGGGCTCCCGACTAAGAACCCGTCTGTGTCCCACGCTGGCTGGGAGTCACGGCTGGCTGCGGAGTGGGGGGCGGGGCTCTGAGAGGGGGTGAGGCTCCCCAGGGGGCGGGGAACTCGCTGCGGGGAGCTCCCGGGGTGAGCAGGGGGCTGAACACTCCAAGGTCGGACCCAGGAGGGGCTGAAGCCGGGCAGGCTCCTTGCCCTGGTGAGGGGCCCTGAGGGGAGACGCTGCCCCCGAGTCCAGGCTGGCGTCACTCAGCGCGGCGCCCGAGCCCCCAGCCCGCGACTCCGGAACAACCTGCAGCCAAGTCGGGGCACGGTCAGAGTCTTCCTGCTACAGCAGTGTGACGAACTGGGGTGTTCTCTTGTTTTTGCCTTGTTGTTCCAGAGGGGTGGGACACATGCAGGGGGGGTGGGACTCAGTGTCCCTGGGTGGGATTCATGCAGAGGGGGTGGGACTCAGTTTCCCCGGGTGTTACTGGTTTAACGAGGGGAGGGGAGAGGGAGTTTGTTGGTACAGAGGACCTGCGAGGAAACTTGGGACCCTGGCCACTGGCCTGGAGAATGGACACCCCAGCGACTGGTGACCTGGTGACCCAGCGCAGGAGTCACAGCCGGTTCTGGCCAGAGGGAGGACAATGGGCTGTGAAGAGAGGACTCTGGTGACCTGATCAGCTGGTTCCAGCCAGAGGGGTCAGAGGACAGAAGAGGGGAGAGGAGGCCCAGGCGACCCTGTTTACCTGGAGAAAAGAGATGGGGCTTGGGGCCGGTGATCTCAGATGCCCAGCTGGGAAGCAGGGGGGCTCAGGGCTGGAGAGGGGGAGCAGGCAGAGCCCCCCTGGATGCAGGGGAGCATGGGATGTGCTGGGCTGAGGGAGGCCAGGCCTGAGGGTCCTGAGAGTTTCCTGTTGTGATGCAGTAGGGAGCGGGCAGATTGACCTGACCTAGGAATGTCGTCTAGTTTTACTGGGACTGTCTGCATGGGGGCTGGGAGAGCAGGGGGTGACTTTAGGTGAGGGACGGTACCTGAGCCTGTAACCTGACCCAGGAGGGGGGTGGGGCCAGGTGACACCTTTGCCCAGGAAACTGGACAAAGGGAAAGGAGGAGCCGGGGGAGGGGAGCGAGTTGGCTGGAGTTTTTTTCTTTCAGTTTCGGGCTGGCTGGGAAGAGGCAGGGAACCCCAAGTCTGGGGTCTAAACTCCTTGCCCCCCAAAGGGACCTGGCTGAGGGTCCCGGTGGTACCTACAAGCCCAGCTTGGGACTGTGTTCCTGTCGTCTAATAAACCTTCTGTAAAAAGAACAGGAGGACTTGTGGCACCTTAGAGACTAACAAATTTATTAGAGCATAAGCTTTCGTGGGCTACAGCCCACTTCTTCGGATGCAGAAAAGCTTATGCTTTATACCCACGAAAGTTTATGCTCTAATAAATGTGTTAGTCTCTAAGGTGCCACAAGTACTCCTGTTCTCTTTGCGGATACAGACTAACACGGCTGCTACTCTGAAACCTTCTGTGTTACTGCCTGGCTGAGAGTCCCAGGGAATCGCAGGAAGCCGGGAGTGCAGGGCCCTGACTCCCCCACACTCCGTGACACCTGTGCTGGGTTCAGACGCTCAATAAACCCTCCTGTTTTGCGCTGCCTGAGAGTCACTCCGGTCTGGAGAACAGGGCGGGGGAGGGGGATTATTCCTCTGGGAATGGAGGCCGCGGGGATCCAGAGCGAGTGGACTCCCTGAGGGGGCCCACCTCAGAGACAGACGTGCTAAGGCTCAGGGAGGTGCGGCTCCACGAGATGGAGGGGTTTAACCCCAAGAGAGAGTGGACCCCTGAGAAGGGCTGTCGCACTGAAGGGGGTTCCCCCCACGGACCGCACGGGGCCAAGAGTGGGCCCGACCTGTGAGTCCGTGAGAGTCAGCACCGGTGCAGCCTCGGGACTCAGGCCAGCTGTCCCAGGCCCCTCTCCTGGGAGCAAGGCCTGAATGGCAGAGGAGGGACAGGACTCCTTGTCCCCGTGCTCAGCGAGTGCGGAACAGACCCAGGGGAATGGCAGCAGCAGACTGGGAACCTGTTGCCCAGGGGCCTGCAGGGATCCCACTAGGAGAGCTGCCTGGCCACACGGGGCTGGGCTCAGGAGGAGGTGGGGGTAGGCCGGGGGCACTAGAGCAGAAGCCCCACCCAGACGCCTCAGGCTCCAGAGGTGATCCCGGCAGTTACAGGCCAGGAAGCCTGACTTCAGCACCAGGCCAACAGGGGGAAACAACAGCAAAGAACGGAATTACCGGACACGGATTGTGGGGCAGGAAGGGAAATCAGGCCTCGCCCAGCTGTTAGAATTCTCTGAGGGGTCAACAAGTGCGGGGACAAGGGGGATCCAGTGGATAGAGTGTTTCAGAAAGCCTTTGACAACGTCCCACACCAAAGGCTCTTAAGTAAAGTAAGTTGTCATGGGATAAGAGGGAAGGTCCCCTCCTGGATCAGTAACTGGTAAAAGATAGGAAACAAGGGTAGGAATAAATGGTCCATTTTCAGAATAGAGAGAGGTAAATAGTGGTGTCTCCCAGGGGTCTGTATTGGGATGGGTGATGTTCAACATAGTCATAACTGATCTACAAAAGGGGTAAACAGTGAGGTGGCAAAGTTTGCAGATGATACAAAACTATTCAAGATAGTTAAGTCCCAGTCAGACTGTGAAGAGCTACAAAAGGATCTCTCAAAACTGGGTGACTGGGCAACCAAATGGCAGATGAAATGCAATGTTGATAAATGCCAAGTAATGCACATTGGAAAACATGATTCCAACTCTACATATACAATGACGGGGTCTAAATGAGCTGTTACCACTCCAGAGAGATCTTGGAGTTATCATGGATCGTTCTCTGAAAACATCTGCTCGATGTGCAGCGGCAACCAAAAGAGCTAATAGCATGTTCGGAACCATGAGAAAAGGGAGAGATCAGAAGACAGAAAATATCACGTTGCCTCTATATAAATCCCTGGTACGTCCACACCTTGAATGCTGCGTGCAGATGTGGTCGCCCCATCTCAAAAAACATATATTGGAATTGGAAAAGGTTCCGAAAAGGGCAACAAAAATGATTAGGGGTGTGGAACGGCTGCCATATGAGGAGAGATTAATAAGACTGGGACTTTTCAGCTTGGAAAAGAGATGACTAAGGGGGATATGATTGAGGTCTATACAATCATGACTGGTGTAGAGAAAGTAAATAAGGAAGTGTTGTTTACTCCTTCTCATAACACAAGAACTATGAAATTACTAGGCAACAGGTTTGAATCGAACAAAAGGAAGTATTTCTTCACACAATGCACAGTTAACCTGTGGAACTCTTCACCAGAGGATGTTGTGACGGCCAAAACTACAGTGAGGTTCAAAAAAGATAATTTAGGTCCATCAATGGCTATTAGCCTGGCAAACAGAGGCTAGGGACACTGTCCCTGCCCAGCCTGAAGCTGGGAATGGGTGACAGGGGATGGATCACTTGATGATTCCCTGTTCTGTTCATTCCCTCTGGGGCACCTGGCACTGGCCACTGTTGGAAGACAAGATACTGGGCTAGATGGACCTTTGGTCTGACCCAGTCTGGTCGTTCTCCCACCCAGCATGGAAAGTCCCCAGGCAGGGGGCTCCTACCCACCCACCTGATGGGGATTTTAAACTCCTGCTGTGCAGAGACCAGGAAGCGGCTCAGGGCTTCGTTGGGCTGGTAGAAGCCCACAAGGAGAATCTCCTTCATGCTTGGAACCTGGGGGGCAGGACACAGAAAGGTTAGGTGAGAAGAGAGCCCACCCCCCCAACCCCAGGTGACACCTCCCCCCAGGGCCAGGACTTGCCCTTGCCCCCCCGCCCTCCCCTTAGGCTCAGGCTAGAATTTACCCGACTCTCTAGCTGAGAGCCATGGAGCCGAATGACCCTTGTCCCCCGCACAGGTGGGTCCAGCCCTTGCATGCAGCTGGCTCGTTACCTTGGTGCAGGCCTCGATGTGGTGCTGGATCATGGGCACCCCAGCCACCGGGAACAGCGGCTTCGGGACTTCGAAGGACAAGGGCCGGAAGCGAGTCCCTGGGGGGAGGAACAAGGGGCTCAGGGGACAGCAGACACGTAGGATTTCATAGATTCATAGATTCATAGATTCTAGGACTGGAAGGGACCTCGAGAGGTCATCGAGTCCAGTCCCCTGCCCGCATGGCAGGACCAAATACTGTCTAGACCATCCCTGATAGACATTTATCTAACCTACTCTTAAATATCTCCAGAGATGGAGATTCCACAACCTCCCTAGGCAATTTATTCCAGTGTTTAACCACCCTGACAGTTAGGAACTTTTTCCTAATGTCCAACCTAGACCTCCCTTGCTGCAGTTTAAGCCCATTGCTTCTTGTTCTATCCTCAGAGGCTAAGGTGAACAAGTTTTCTCCCTCCTCCTTATGACACCCTTTTAGATACCTGAAAACTGCTATCATGTCCCCTCTCAGTCTTCTCTTTTCCAGACTAAACAAACCCAATTCTTTCAGCCTTGCTTCATAGGTCATGTTCTCAAGACCTTTAATCATTCTTGTTGCTCTTCTCTGGACCCTTTCCAATTTCTCCACATCTTTCTTGAAATGCGGTGCCCAGAACTGGACACAATACTCCAGCTGAGGCCTAACCAGAGCAGAGTAGAGCGGAAGAATGACTTCTCGTGTCTTGCTCACAACACACCTGTTAATACATCCCAGAATCACGTTTGCTTTTTTTGCAACAGCATCACACTGTTGACTCATATTTAGCTTGTGGTCCACTATAACCCCTAGATCCCTTTCTGCCGTACTCCTTCCTAGACAGTCTCTTCCCATTCTGTATGTGTGAAACTGATTTTTTCTTCCTAAGTGGAGCACTTTGCATTTGTCTTTGTTAAACTTCATCCTGTTTAACTCAGACCATTTCTCCAATTTGTCCAGATCATTTTGAATTATGACCCTGTCCCCCAAAGCAGTTGCAATCCCTCCCAGTTTGGTATCATCCGCAAACTTAATAATCGTACTTTCTATACCAATATCTAAGTCGTTAATGAAGATATTGAACAGAGCCGGTCCCAAAACAGACCCCTGCGGAACCCCACTCGTTATGCCTTTCCAGCAGGATTGGGAACCATTAACAACTCCTCTCTGGCCAGGCTGGCTCATTGGCGCTGCACAGACCCCGGAGATCGGGTGGTCTCCTTCCCACCACCAGCCCGGTAGCCAGGCACTTTCGCTGGCCGGCCGCGGCGCCCGCTCCATGCACCGTGCCCCATGCCAGGGCCAGGGCTACAAGCCAGGCGCACGCACGGATCAGAAGCAGCCAGCACAGCACCAGCTCCTGGAGTCAGCCCGGCACAGCGGGCACCGGGCAGCGCCAGGCGAGCCGGGCCGGGCCTGGGGGCCGAGCTGCAGGGAGCAGGACACGGGGGGCTGGCAGCCCCGGGGAGCAAAGGGGGTGAGGCAGATGCCACCGGAGCCGGCTAGGACGGGAGGCTGGGGCCGAGTAGGTGCTGGGAGGGGCCGAGCAGGTCCTGGGCAGGACTCTCGCTGCGCTGTGGGGCAGACCCCAGCCCTTCCCCTGGCGCTGGGGGCGCAGGGCGGGGGGCGGCTCTCACCTTTCTGCGGCCCCCCAATGAGGATCACGGCCTTCAGCATGTTCACGGACCCTGCACGGGAGACAGAGCGACTCAGAGAGCCCCGCGCCCCACACGCCCCCAGCCCTCGCCTGGCCTACCCCAGCCCCCCACTCAGCCCCCCGTTACCTGCCCCGCCCTGCGCCCCCCACACCCCCAGCCCTCACCTGCCCCAGCCCCCCACACAGCCCACAGCCCCCCGTTACCTGCCCTGCGCCCCACATGCCCCCAGCCCTCGCCTGCCCCAGCCCCCCACACAGCCCCCAGCCCCC